CCATTTCTTGCGTTAGATGTTTCGATGTGTAATTTTTAATCGGTCCCCACTGCCTTATTCTGCGCATGCATTGGACATTTTCAAGAAGCTACTTGCCGCCCTTCCCTTTTAATATCTGACGAAAATAAATTAAAGAATTAATTGATTATCTGAAATACTTGTGACATGTAAGTTCCGCTTCTTTGCAAACGCCGATCAGTGCCATTGCCATCAATGGAATCTTCAAACTAATGAATGGATGAACGAACAAACAAATAAAAAAAAAACACGAACGAGCGAATACATTAAAAAGATAACGCCTACATCAAACCTCCTCACCTAACCACCATGCAGAAAATAAAACATATATGCACTCATTAGATCCATATCCCACAATACCATACAAGAGACCCATACGACAAAAAGTCTGAAAATTATGTAGCTTTATCAGCGGAGTTGGTGATTTTAAGAGGTTCAAGACAATCTTCCTTAACTCATGAATGTATTATGGGGATAAAACACAAAATATGTCAGGTGCTGTGAGCCACATCTATTATCTGACAGAGAAAGTGTGGTAGGCAATCGTAACTAAACATCAAATTCCTTTAGATCTTGATTGAGAAAAATGTGTCCAATATGTCCTATGTGGTTCGTTCATATGCCATTGCGGGATCTGGGTCCTATGGGTGGGTGCATAGGTTTTAGTACTGCATCGATCCGATTCCTTTATCAAACGGAAAATAGACCTTGCGAAATCCAAGCAATCCTAGCGGCGTAGTGCAGCGCGAGGCATGTTGGGAACCCAATGGTCACGGTTTTGGTTTGCCAACCTCAATGCACGACCTAGTGCATGCATCTTCGCATATGTCACTTTCCTTAAATTTATAACACCTTCAGTGTTGCCAACAGATACGAATAGAATGCTGAGTTGTTCCCCTACATCAGGCGAACAAATACCCTGTCTTCTTTACGGCAGTCCAGTCGCTTCGTTCAAAGTCGAAAGCTTGTGATAATAGCAGCATAAGACGGCTAGCTTGCAACAAAAATCAGTATGTAAAAAAACACACACACAGTGCAAAGTGAAACACACACACATACACAAAAAAAATGTTGCGGAGTACTTTAGTTTTTCAAGAACCTGGAGTTCCTCCGAATGCATGCTCTTCATTTCATTTATACAATGTATTTTTACATCGAGGAAAGTGAGTTAGTTAATACATATGCACATACAAAAGATTAATAAAAGGTATTACGTATTACAGCTGACGAGGCGAAGATAAAATGAGGAAAATAAACGTTTAATGGGGCTTGCTTGTGCCCCAAACTCAAAAGAGAAGCACAAGTGCCGCAAGGGTCGAAAGCCGGCCTGACAGCAGGGTCGAGCGTTGGAAATAGATTGGACTCCGTACGGCAACGCCCCTTTTATATTCGCTTCGCTTTCTGGAACATTCCGACCAGAACATTTGACCCTAAACATTCCGTCCTGGACAAACGACAACGTTTTCGAGTTTTCTAGAACCAGGGATGTTACGAACCCGGGACCTCTGCGTGGCAGCCAGGTGCGGTGCTCATGGGGCCACCGTACACGCACGCGGCAATAGCTTAAAAAGAAAAACTATAATAACTGCATTCTTAAAGAGGCGTTGCAATGATTTTCTAAGCTCTCTTTAAATATCGTTTAAAATTATTCGTTGACGTTTAGAACCAAAAAAGAAAAAAAGAAAAACAGGATTTAGGTCATGCACAGTGGGTATACACAGTGTAGTAAACCTGTTAAAGATAAAGCGCGGTTACTTAACAGGTCTTTATATAAGGCGTCGTACCATATTGTCCAGACTATAGAGTCCAAAAAAGTCTCATTAGATAGCCTGCGGTCGGTGCATAGCCCAAACCTGGTGCATATTGCGGACGTGGAAACATTCTTGTACATGACGCATCTTGAAATATACCTGCTCTATCAGCGCACGAAGCTTGTATCCTACAGCAATGATTATTAACATAATCTGCAATTCACGAGCGTATCGTCCGATTAAAGAATTTTTAAATAAATGTATGGCAAATCGTTAGGCGATCGCGTTGCATACGTAAACCGTACTAGCATCAGACACGCTGATATTGTTTAGAAGCACGTCTAGCCTGCTCAGCCAGACGCCTATGTTCACGGCACTTTTCATCGCATAATTTAACACGTGGCATGTGTACACTTGAAATGATAAACCTAGTGATCTTCCAAAACCTTATAACCCACTCCTCCTCTCTTACCTCGCATCCGCACTCCACCCCTGGCCACATGACCAACCCGTTAACCAATCAGTGTCGAGCACCCCACTCCTCTCCCACCAGTCAACCAATCAGCGTCGAGCCTCGAAGTCACGCTTTTATCCAGGCTTCACTTTGGGGCTTCAAGAAATGCCAAACACCTATAGCCAAAGAACGCTTTGCGTTAAAAATAAATTTCTGTGTAGTCCGCACCGCGTAAAATTTCAGCTTTCAAACACGTCTAGCCCGCGGATTATTGAGCAGGAGATCGAACTATAGGGGGCGTTTTATCGAGCTTGTTGTGCCCACAGCCTGGTGTTTACTAACACAGCATAGAAAACGAACCTCGCCTAGCAGGGTCTTGGCACGAGCGCTTCGCTCTGATCAGTGCTTTGGTCGCACGAGGAGCGGCCTTCGAATCGTCACCTTCGATTTCTCCGATCAAAAACAAAGAAGAAAATACGGTTTGTTGTACCCACAACTGAAGCGTGCCACTTGAGGCGTGAGTGTGCGATCTCCTTCCCAATAATCTTAAAATTGGGAAGCACAAAAAAAAAAAAAAAAAAGAAAGTTACATTTTTGAAGGCGTCTGAATGTTCGGAGTAAAAAGACGAAAAAAATATAGACCATCTGTACGAGAGTTCTGTTGAGCGTTGGTAGAAGAAACAGGTGCAAGAGGGCGGTTTTAGGACGTACATTTAATGTTAGAGTGCTGATGGAAACGTAACATATAACCACTTCGGTGTGGAGAGCCACCTGGCGGGCGTAATGGGGACCCTTCACGAGATTTATTGAACGCCATCAAACACATAAAAAAAAAAGAAGCTTTAAGTTTTTTTGTTTGTTTGCTTTGTTTTTTTTGTTTTTTTTTTTGCGGTGACATTCAGTAACCAAGTGACGGGTTTACATCGCATGAAAATGCCATATGAATGCAGGACACAATCCACATGGAACTTGTAGAAAAGAGTATAAATCTGATTTCCACCATTCTTAAGATGAAACAAAAAATTACGACTACATAGAGACGCAATGAAAGCCACAGCAATAGCAACGCTCGTGGCTTCTAGTCCGCACGAACAAGCAACGCTACTCCCCAAATTGACAAATACTTTGTTTGGGGGCGGAGCGGAGGGGCGAGGATGAAGGGGCGGGCAATTCGAGTAACCACAGGGAAGCCCCTTAGGTCTACGAAACTCGACCTTTTCATATCCTTTGAAGGCAGTCAGTTGGATCCTCAATGGCGTCGAAACAGGGGAGAGAAGCTAGGGGCAAAAAAGGATCCCCCGACAGACCTTAAAAAAGAAAAAAATGAGGTAAACAATACTGGAAAGGGCAAAATAATCTCGCGCCCCTTCCCGTCCCATGGAGTTCCCACGCCTTTGGGGACCCTCCAGCGCCAGGAAGGCCTCACTCAATTTTTCGGGGAACGCTGCGACGCGTTTGACCAGATAAAGTTCTCCTGGCGCGCGCGCTCGCCCGAGTAGCCTCGTCCGACAGCGACCTCCGCCGTCCAGAAAAACAAACGCAAGAAGAAAAAAGTGTCTCGTTCCGGGGGCATGATTTTTCCGCTCGGAGCGTCTCATGTGACCTTGACGGGCGCTGGCTTGAACACTGTGGCAGAGATCTCCCCGCTTTTTTATTTACAGAAAAAAAAAAACCTGCAGCGCCGAAAACTTCGGCATTATAGCAGGTACAGCCCATGGATTAATACGCTCAATAAAATAAAATAAAAAAAAACGGAACACTCGAATATAACACCTGGGCTGTCAATAAAGAAAATAAATAAACATCGAACATAAACAACATTAAACATCAAGACCATTTCCCGAGATAAATGGTCTCACGTCGTCACGAATAAAAAAAAGACTGGTAACAGGTTTCACTGACCGATTGCGCGTGGAAAAAATGAAAGCTTCTTATAATCTGTTCTACGAGAAATTTCCCTTATTTTCCTGGTATGATCTACACGATTTAAAATGTAGTTAGGTAATTTTATATAGTTGTTTTTATCAATACCAGTCATATCATTAAAAATTGCGAGCAAGAACCTCAATCGAAAATCTTTGCGCCTCGACAATAAAGTTTCCCAACCAAGTACATTTTTAGTCTCTGTTACGCTATCGTTCCTACTATAATTTCCCGTTACAAATCTCGCCGCACGGTTTTGAAGTTTTTCTAACTTATCTGCGAGGTACTTCTGATGCGGATCCCACAAAACACACGCGTATTCCAGTGTAGGTCTTACCAAACAGCAATAGGCAGTCTCTTTTAGTTTCTGCGGAGCACCGCGTAAATTTCGAATAAGAATTTTGATTTTCGAATAAGAATTTCAAAAATTTCAACGCGTTCACAAAACTGTTCTTGCCGCCGTTGAGGCACGAAGGAGTGTCTCTAAGCGACACACGTAGGGCAAGCTCGAACTTCTACATGACGTGGCGCACTCAGAAAACGACTTTGAAAGCAAGCGTGTCTCCCATACAGAGGGATAGGAATTAAACCGGGCCCGCGACTGCTGTCTGCCATCAGCCGCATTTTCGAGAGTCATCCGGTGGTACCGCTGTGAATCAAGGTGAGCGCTCCGCCTGGCAGCTGCGGCGCGCGCGGTGTCCACACCTACCTGCTATCTCACACCGTGCCCGAGGCGTATGCGGCGCGTCTGCGACTCGTTCGTTGAACGTCTCGACCAGCGGGAACATGGCCGCGCACACGACGAACAAAACAAACCACGACGGGAAGAAGAAAGGAGCGGAATGGCGCCTCACCTCTGGTCCTCATCCGGCACGGACTGCAGTTCCCCGGTGGACCTGGACTTCTTGGACGGTCCCACGACTTCCTGGGACCCTTGCCGCTTGGCCTTCCACCGGAAGATCTTGCGGACCGCCCTCAGCGGGTGGAACTTCTTCCGCTTGCCCTCCGCTGCGGGAAGACGGACAGCACGAGTCAACACGAGTGCAGTCGGCGTCGGCGATCGTTATCGACTGATGCGGTTAGTCGGAGCTCTCCGCCTGTGTGCAACGCCACGCAACACTGCAACGAACAGGCGCTATGTGCCCGCGTGAAAACAGCTGCGGCCGTTATGCGGAGCGCTCGACCGCGTGGGGAAGTCTTTTCGTCGTTGTTGTTTCATTATCCTCTCTGATTCACGCACATTGAAGGAAACAGTGCGGAGGTCCGCGGTACGTGAGCGAACAGCGCCGACGAACGGATTGAGCGACGGGAAACGCTGCAGGTGCGGCGGAGAGCTACGCGTTCGCAGCGCCAATCAACCGCCTCTCTTTTCACCGCCCGACCCCCCTCTTTGCGAGTGCACATGGGCGGGAAAGCGATCACGTGATGCGCACATAGGCGTATGATTGGTCCAACGAGCACGTGGCTACCACCGCACTGTCGGCTTAGGGGTGAACGGAGTACAGATAGTGTAGGTGCCTCGATGTCTGGTTACGTCTGAAGTGGAGCCACGAGGGCATGCACCCCCAACCCCCTTTTTTTTTCCGGTCCAAAAAACAAAACAAAAAATGCCAGAAAGAGTGACGATTCTGGTTGTCCGAAAGGAACACTCGAGGGAACTTCAAAGGCATAGTTGAGACACGGAGATCTCGGGTCATAATATTTCGCTCCAATCCTCGAGATAACTTTGTGGCTCAAGGGTCTATCCAAGTCAATTACACAATCACACTTTTTAGCGCCGCCTGTGAGGAAAAGAAAGAAAAAAAAGTACGCAACGCGATACCATTAGCGCGAACACGACTTCGGCGCTCTTTCGCATTGTACTTCGAATGAGCAGTACGATGGACATCAAAATTTGCCGCCTATAGGTTAGTACGCCAACTGAGCGTTTCCCACCACTAGAGTGTTTCGATGACAGTCCTTCAATACTGAGAGAAAAACCGAAAAAAAAACCGGCGATGATTTGTTTGCAGTAATAGTCCCCCGGAGTGAATGCAGGTGAAGTGTTCTCCTGTAGTAACTTTCCGAAGGCACTTAGACGAAGTCCCCTACTTAGTCGGCGACTTAGTTCGACTGCAACACCTCTCCTCCTCTCTCTCGCTGATTCTCGGCTGAATTTTCGGTTTCCGTTTTGCCAATTTCCGCCCAAGCATCGTGGAACGCACCTTGTTAAAAAATATTCGTCCAAAAATTAAGAACAAAAACACTAAAGAAAAAAAAAACTCTTCTGGCTGAGTTTATTTTTAGTGCTGCCAAGACCTGAACACCGGTTGTAGCGCAATAGCCGCCGACACCACTCGCATAGTGACGTTCACAGTAGAATGTAAGTAATCGTGTCGTTTGAAAAAGAAAAAAAGAAAAAAAGAAAGAACAACGCATGCTTTTTGATCACTAGAATATTGTCCCCCCGAAACCCGGTCGCCATGAATCGTCATTGTTTCTCCTTAACAGAATGTTCGTAGGCACACCGCACGACACGGTTAGCGCGAACAAGCGATCGCCAGTTTTTCCTGCTTTTCGAAAGGCTGTCATCAAAACTCCCATCGTGGCGGAAAGTGCTTGCTTAGCGCATTGACCTAAGAGGTAAAGTTTGGTTTCCGACAATGCCCTTTCGAAATAAAATAGAAACAAAAACGCCGATGTATTTTCGCCACCAATGTCGCGCAGTATGGTAAACCTCGTTAACTCCTCAATTAAAACTCGCAGCAACTGTAAGACCACCAGCACAAGCCTTAGTCCCATACGTTCGCAAGTCACACGCTCGAGGGCTTATGACGTTACTTGCGTCAACAGCTCCAAACAGACCTTAGCTAGAGTGGTCACGCACAAGCTGGAATGAGCTACGACGTCATTGCAGCTGGCTCAAGCTTCGTGGAAAAGAAAAGTCATTTTTGGGTAGATAAGTGGCTAAAGGTTGGTAGAGTAACCTCACGGCTCGCGTCAAGTTCAAGCGGAGTTTCGTAGTTATTTTATCAATAATCGTACTTAGGGCAGTTGCGAACTTTCGTCGAACCTGAGGCACAACGTTGAACCTTGAAGTTCGCCTAGACTCTAAAAACAAATCTGTTCTTGAAAGGTTTTTCGACGCCCCAAGGACTCTTTCAGCACGTAAAGACCGGTTTCGCCTCAAGCACAATCGGCCCCTGTCACTCTAGGAAGGCAACTGGGCGATAAAGAACCCTTTCGCATCGAGAAAGGTGCTTAAAATAAACCCTTATAGGTTGTTCACGAAGACTTTTTAGGGGGTGCTTAAATGAACTTTTTTGCTGCAAAATATGGACAGAATTATGACGAGGAAGTTCAAAGAATGAAAAATATATGATCCTCGATCGGTACCGCGCCTGTATAGCCATAACCGATTTCGAGCCAATTCGATATAAATGAATTGGATCCTCGGATCAAATGGGAATTTCATGGCCAAATGGGAACTGGGCCTCGCCAAAAGAACGACCCAGGAGGAACCGACAGGGAGCCCGTAGAGCCCTGCCCAACCCCGCGAAGGGGCACAAAAGGGCCACAGCAGGGGGTCGACGGGTGGCGAAGGGCAACAAGTGCGCCCAACCACCACCGCCGTACCGATATTTGCTTTTCCACTCCTCCCAAGGAGGAGCCACAATGCCAAGGGGTCCGCCCCCTCAGGAGAGGGCAATCGAAATATGGACGAGCCAAACAACCCCGAGGTATATTTTACGACCATGGGGCCCGTAACTCGTCAAACACAAAAGTTGGAAACTCGTCAAACACAAAAGTTGGAGCCGGAAGTTGGCGGAGCTCGCCGATTGGACGCAGGCGACAAAAGCGCCAAGTCATCGTCGTGGTAGTCCCATCGGTGTGCTCCTTGAAGTTCGGCCCCAACTTTGTGTTCGACGAGTTTAGAGCCCCAGATACTTTTAGGGTAGTTGGGCGGTCCCTCGAACGTTTGGCCAATTATCGTTTGAGTTCGACTTTTGAACCGTGTTAGGCATCGCCCACACAATTGCGACTGCTTACGACCCCGTGCGTTACGACCTCTCGTGATCGTTTACGTCGAGAGCAGAGCCATACATACGTATGTATGGCTCTGGTAGAGAAGACACGCTGACGCCATCTATCGGGCGGCCGTAGAACACTGGCGGTTTCCGTGCATTTTCCTTTTTTTTTTTATTATTATTCGCTAGAAAAACTCTTGGCAGTGTTAGGAAAGACCATTTCTCACAGATAGCGCGTATAATCCCTACCGAGAAAACCAGTGTAACTTTTCGCTCATTGGAATATGGAACAGGAAATTTCCTGTTCCATAATCCAGTTAGGGAAAAGTTATACTGTTTTTTTTTTTCGGTAGGGTTTTATTTAGCAAATACTGCGAAGCCTTTGTTCGCGCTAGTGAAATTCAGTTTCAAGGTTGCCCTACATATGGCGCCAACGTGCCAGTGTGTTTTCTAGAGAGCCTGTATTACGGAGAGTTTGCAACTGCTGGATGAGGCTCATGCGGCTTGTGGGCCGCGTTTGCTACGCGAGCTGCGAGGCGGTGCCGAAAATCTTGATCGTCTGCTAACGCCTCTGCGCCCGCTTTCCTCCTCGCCGCCTTACAGCCCAGCGTTGTTGGCCCAGCGCATGCGCACTTCCGACCTATCCCCGCAGGAGGCGCCCGCCATTAAATTGCAAATGATGCAGATTGCAGATGGACGCTGTCTTCAATCTACGCTTTCTAGAGAACGATATAGCCTAAATTGACGAGATGGTCTTTAAAAACTAAAGCAAACAAGACGAGCGCCCAGAGAGCACGCACACGTAAAGAGCGCACATTTTGAACTGATCTTATTAGAAAATCACACGCATCGAAGTGAAAAACAAGAACCCTTTGACCAAGTCACTGACTATGCAATCCTGTCAAAAGCACCCAAGAACGCAAGTTCCCCGTCATACAGCGCTATCGATGCGACACCAACGCACTGGTCATTTTCGCTCCGCTCTATGAGGTATACCTGTGCAATCTCCCTCGTGACTAGCTAGTCACGAGGGAGATTGCTAGTCACGAGGGACAGCGACTAGAGAGAAGGTCGGCAATGGCGGCTCAACCTGGCGCCGGTTTAAAGCGTCTACACCCTCTTCGCACAAAGAGAGGGGGCCATCTCAGACTATGCGGGGAGTTCGAACGCCTCCTACGGAACTTGGTTGCCAGGGCGTGTGTGCTGCGTTTTGTGTGGCAAGGGGCGGAAAGGCGAAGACGTTCGCGGAGGAGCAACGCTATCGGCGCCTTCTCGCAGCTCGTATTGCCAACGCGGCCCATAAAATCACGTGGCCACGATTGTGCAGTCGGAAAGTTTCTCGAAAGCCGGCTCTCTCGTCATCTCGTCGCAAGATATCCCAAGAGGCATCGATGTACTCGGTCGACAGCAGTCCCAAGTGCGTCAACCAATTTTTACCCGATTTTTGCAAACTTTTTGAGACGAAAAAAAAAAATTAAGAAAGTTTTGCGGTGAGCTTTACATCGTGCCAAAGCAAACGTGTACACGCGTTAATGAGTTTGCCAATGTGCAACATCAAAATCAATCCTGTTTCGCCCCGTCCTCCGCTAGATGGCGTCTGCTCGCTTTTCAAGTCACGAAATGCGCCTAATACTGTTGTCGCGGAACCTCGTGGACCGGTCGAAGCTGGACAGCTTTGGCCGCGTCCCTCGAGGCAGGGGGGCCTCTTCGGCGCCCTATCCGCGAGGCCACGCGTTCTCCCGCCGCTTTCCTCAAGCGCAGTGGCGTAAGCGAGCCGGCGCAGTCCAGCGGGCAGGTCGGCAAACACCTGGGCGTCAGTGTTCCACGCGTCGCCAGCCGTGTGCGACGCAGCGTGTGCACGCACTGACAGCTGTGGCTCCCCCGTTCGTTGCTCCACCGCCGCCGGACACGCGGGGCTCGCAACCGGCCTGCCACGAGTCAAAGCGAACGCCCGCTGAGAACAGTCGAGATCCGAGACCTCGAGGAACGCTTTCAAAAAAA